TAGTGTCATGAGAATTGATTTTTGTTTTATAAATCTATTTTACTTTAATAATTCTTTTCTATGCAAGCTACATATATAAGATCTTAAATAAGTGAAGAAAAATTACTTTTCAAGTAATATAAATTAATAATAATTAGGATCATCCAATTAAAGATTAAGGGACGTAAAATAAAAAATAATAATAAAATTAGGGGTGCACATATACTCTCCTATATATAGATCAATCGTTGATGTAAGAAATATATTAGTTCTCAATAATTATTATTTTCAATTATTATAATATTTTTATCCATTGTCTTAGTCCAAACTTCTTGTCACTTCTTAATAGCATTCAAGCTATATTGTTATTTTGCATGTTATATATATATATATATATATATATATATATATATATATATATATATATATATATATATATATATATATATATATATATATGGACAAAATCAGAAATTTTAGATAAAAGGGATCATCGTATAAAAATTAATTACCTAATAAAAATATATATTATATAATTAATATTATTAATTAAAATAAAATTTATTTCATCTATCTTTCTTTTTCTTTTAAAAAATATTCTATAATTTTATTTTTAGATATCTTTAAAACTCAAATTTTTTTTTCACATTTTAACATCAAAATATAAAATATTAAAATAATTAACTAATTTATAATAAATAAAAACATTTATATTAATATTTCTTTTTTTATATTACACTACACATGCTAATTGTTATAATAAAAATTATTAGGAGGTATCTACTTTATTTTTTAACTTTTTACCTTATGCCTTCTTGAACAGAAGACAAAAAAAACTAAAAAATAAAAAAAATACAATTTTTATATTATAGAGATGAAATTATAAAAAAAAAGGAAAATTTTGAAAACTAAAGAGGAAAATTAAATTTTTTATGTTGTGTGAAATCGTGAAATATAAAAATATGAGAGCAAATGGGTGATAAAAATAAAATATAGAAATGTGAAAAAACAAAATGAGTGTTTGATAGAAAAAATTGTAGTAAGAAAATATAAAAGAGAGAAAATAAAGATAAAAATCTAAAAATGGAAGGAAGAAAAAGAAAAAATATAAGTGAAAATTATGTAAAAGAACAAATATGATATTTATTATAAAAAAATTAAGAGAAGAAAAGATGAAAAAATAAATTTTATTTATATTTATAAAATATTTTTTATTTAATTTTTAAAAAATAATTATATATATATATATATATATATATATATATATAAAGAGTACGTCCTGATGAAAAATCTTGTTATATATGTGAAAGAATGACTCTTTTGATACTTCTTGAGATTGTTATATTGGAATAAAAATGTTGTTTCTTGTTTTTTTTTATCTTCCCAATTACAAGAAGCACTTTTAGCAACTCGTTGGTAAGCCATTTTGTTTATAAGTTGTAAATTTAATAGTATTTTTTATTATATGTTACATCCTAATAAGATTCATTATATAGTCTTGTATTTTAATAATTTATGTCTTTTCTTATTTGATACATTTATGTAGTTGATATATTCAAAAATTCTTAAACATTTAACAGGTGATTTTCGTCCACTCTAAATTTTAATTAGAGTCTTATGTTGAACTGTGTTAGGGCATTTGTTGATTACATACACGATAATATAAATTGCTTTTGTCCAAAAAGTATTAAGCAAGTTTTCCTCCTCAGATTTTGTCATCTCCATCATCATATGATTCTTCCTTTTTTATATACTATACTGTTGTGGTGCATATACAATTGTGAATTATCTTTGTATTTCTTCATCTTCACAAAAATTATTAAACTCATGTGAATTATATTGTTTGTCTTGATCACTTCTTTTATATGTTTTTCATTATATTTTTCAACAAGAACTTTAAACTTCTTAAATATTTGAAAAACTTGTCATTTTTCTTTGATGAAGTAAACCCGTGTCATTTTAGAAAAGTTATTAATGAAAAGGATAAAGTACATGTTGTTTAATGATGATGTCGTCACTAGTCCATAGATGTCTACGTGGATTAACTCTAACAAATCTTTTGTTTTTCATACTTTTTAGTTAAAAATGGTATTGTGTTGCTTTTTAGAAGATATCATTCACAAGTTTTCTTATTCTCTTTCAAGTAATTTGTGACAATATTAATAGTATGTTTGAAGCTTATATTTCTTTTCTCAATTTTAATTTCTCTTATCTCTCTCGTCTTTTGTTATCATAAATTTTCTATTGATCTCCTTTAAAGTGAAAAGCATAACATTTCCTCATCATTTAACTCATGTTTTAGAGATTTCCTTTAAGATTGAGAAAAAGTAAGACATTTTAATAAGTTTCTTATCCTTCTTTGTCTCCACCACAATAATGTCTCTTTCTTTTGACTCTAATAGGGTGTTATTTCTCAATCAAACTTTCACTTTAACAAATTACATTTGTTATTCAAGTACTAACTTTCACTTGCTTCATCATTGAAATCTTGGTTAATAAAAAAGATGTCGTTGAAGGTATGCTCTTTAGTAAAATTTGTTTGATGTTTGTTTTTGCTACAACATTTCATCTCCACATGTCTAAACTTCTTATTGTATTGACGTTGTTAATTTTTGCAATGTCAACAATCTTGCTCCAAGTGACTTGACTTTTGATAGATATCACATGTAAAATATTTATCTTGATTAGATTTAGAGAAACTTCTAGACTTATTTTATTTCTAGAACTTTCTTCAATTTTTTTCTCTATTTTTTTATTCTAATATTGTAATTTGAACTTTGATTGAAAGGATTTTCAACATAGTCATCGTTATAAATTTTCAATTTTTGCTTATATACTTTAAGAGAGTTTATTTGTTTTATCATCCATAAGGTATATATATCATTGATTTTCCAATCCTAGTTAATATTGCGTCATATCTATGAGGAATAAAAATTAGAATTTCTTGACAATTAACTCTAATATAGCTTATTACCTATTTTATTATGGTATAATAATGTTTAATATTTTTAATAACTCAAACTAAAGTCTTAGAGTTGAAGTTTAATGATTTGTACCTTAAAACTTCACCAATAGAGTGTTCTATTGTAGCCTCCATTATTCTTGGAAAATTATATCAATTATGATTTGTTGCAAAAAGTATAATATCCTTTAGTTATTTTATTTGTTATGCTTCAACTTCTTCTTTTTGAGCAGTTGTTAGTGTAGAAATATATATATATATATATATATATATATATATATATATATATATATGTCTAATTAGGGATGACAAAGCGAGTCGAGTCTACTTATTTTGACCCGTCTCACTTTTGGTCCACTAAAAATAGGATGGGACGGGCTGTCTCGTCATAGTTAGGATGAGCTACAAATTTCAGATCCGCTCCATACATAAATATTTATATATATATATATATATATATATATATATATATATATATATATATATAAATATATGAATAATTTTTAAGTTTTTATTTATTAATTAATATTTTTATTAGATAAATTAAAAAAATTATTATGTTTATACGTCAAAATAACTAATTATAATTAATAATTTAAATTTGATTAATTAATTTTTATAATTTAAATTATAATATATTTAGATATCTCAATAATATAAAAAAATATTTTTAATTATAATTATTTTTATTTTTATTTTTATTTTAATATATAAATATTATTTTAAAACGGATTAATGGGCTAATACATCCCATCCTTGGCTCATCAAATTGGCGAATCTGGACGGACCAACTAAAATAGACTGATAGGTTAAAACTACTTTTTAGGTAAACTCACTGGATGAGTCTAGTTCGTTTTGTCATCTTATAATTAATTAAGTCATCTTCTATAATCTTTCGTAGATCTTAAAATTAATAATTGTCTTTATTTTAATATTTTAAAAGTCATAATTTTCTTTAAGGAAAATATGAAAATATAGTAGAAATTTTGAAATAATTAGATATTTTATATACGTATAATAGATTATTTGTTAGTATCATAGGATAATAGAAATTATTGTTTGGTGGTGAAGAGTTTAAGAAAAAATGTATAATTAAAAATATTGTAAGAGAAATATGGAAAAGATTATATTATTTCTTTTCACACTTATTACACAAATACTATTATATCTATCACTTTTAAATTAATTTATAATATTCTAAATAATTCTATATTTTTTTATTTATCAAGAGTTAAATTTTTAGAATAAACTCATATTCGTATAAAATCCCTAATTCTATTAATTTCTATAACCTTATTTAAAAATGGTACTCGCAACATCAGCAAATCCTACTGTCAGGACCTTAAATGCACATGACCGTTAAAGATTGACCTCTTCTAATGTCCAATGGTTGCTGACTAACGTCTCTTTGTTGCACTCTTTTCGGTCCAAATGCAGCATGTCATACCTTTTACCCATACCATTGGAACATGGAATTGTTGAACTTATCAATGCAATTGAGCTTGAGATATAGGTAAATTTGTAATTAATTTATGCTTTAGTGTAAAATGAACAGTGAATGAATTAATTAATTAATTAGTAGTTTATGCTCCATTCTATTGTCAAGTATCTGATTCGGAAAACCTGTTATTAGTCATATAAACAGAGATTGTGGTGTCCACAATGAAGGGAATTATATGATATTATTAATTAGGAATCCTTGTTTGAGAAAGCCTCTTCTAAGTTTACACACTCCACTGCTGAAATAGTATAATTGTGTTAGTTGGTTCACTCAACTTCACTTTTAGCATGCACCATCACCCAACCTTGTCTCGACAACTTCACTTTTTTCTTAATTCTTTCCTCTAATTGAATTGAATTGAATTGATATGCAATTGAAACCGTAATCAAATCTCCTAACACGGAGCATTCATGCAAACAAATATTACTCATAAATTAATAATTTTAAACCAATACTTATTGGGGGAGACGGGAAACAGAAACATCACAGCAATAACATGTAACATCAAACCATAAAAGACAATCTATCATTCTCTCATGGAATTTATTCTCTTCTCTTCTACAAGAAGGAATCGAAAGACCACGAAAGAATGTCGTGTGTTTCAACCAAGTCACCGGTGGCACCAGAGAAACCGACTAGGACCCATTCTGACAGAACCGTCCCTAAATTAACGGGATACGATAAAACTGTGGCGTTTGTCGCAGGACTATTTGGATAAGCCACGGAGACACTCAATATTTTGGCGGTAGATTGATAGCTGATGCGTGCCTTCCCGACTGATCCTTGTGGTTGAATATCAAGTGGCCATGGCACAGTTGCCACGGACCTGATGGAATTGATGTCAATTCCTAGGTGAGGAGAATCAGACTGTGGGAAGTTGGGATCCCATTCATTTGCAAAGCTATCAAACTCAACAGCCACCACTTGGTTTAAGGAGGTGTTGAATGCTGTTTCCTTGTTGAAAAGCCCGAGGAATCCACCACTTGAGTTGTCAGGGAATTCAAAATCGAGTGATGCAAGGAAGAAGGTGAAGCCGTCGCCGTGGAGTGATGCACCCTTTGTGTTGACAACAAAGGAGAACTCGGTGGTGAATTCTACCACCCTGCCAGTTTTTGGGTCGGAGAGATGAAGTGGTGCAAAGTATGCTGAGAGGCCAACGCTGTGTTGAGTTGGATTGCCGCTTTGGTCCTTGTTGGTGAGTTGTAGTACTCCACCTGTTGTCTTGGCATCATCACCCACTAGTATGCTTCTAATACCCGGCTCAAAACTGGGTAGGTTGAAAGAAAAAGAGTTTGATCTGGCACAGGTAATCAGCGAGAGGCAAATAAGGAAAACAGAGAAAGGGTGGTTGGCCATTGTAGTGATGTTGTGGATGATTTGTAATGATGCTTAGAGTGAGGGAAGAATGCAGGTATTTATAGGCACTTGTGTTCAGTTTTGCAGGCTGTTTAGGAACAATACATTTGGACGAACTAGGCAAAGTTCATAGTTTGGCCGTCGTCAATTATAGGCGAAACGAGCGAGGAAGATCTGCTATGAAATATATTAACTACCAAGCTTAGATAGTCCAATATATCTTTGTCTTTCCATTCGACACATTTGGTTTGTTTCAAACAATAATCTACGCCGGTTTTTAGATAATAAAGCAGGACATTTTCAATGAACAAGACATAAGTAGACTGGTCAACTCTTAATAATGGGGCAACGAAAGAGTTAACCAACTAATAAATTTATATAAACTTTTCTTTTTTATCATCATATTGACAAATATTTTCCTTCAGTTTTTATGTAAGCATTTTTACTTTATTTTTAATTTCTATTATTAAAAACATTTTTAACTCTCTTATAACTATGTCATTCTAATATATGGTAGCATATATTAGTCCTTCTACTTGTACTATTTTTATATTTTTTTAAATCTATATTATTATACAATTTTTAATTTTTAATTCCAATTTTAAAATTCATTCTTTTCTATTGATGGTGAATGTGAGACCGCAGTTCAAAAAATTGGTTAAAGAATATTAAGAATTTTAAAGTAAGAAATAGTTTTACGGGAACTTCAAATATATAAATTATATTTACATATACTATAATAGAAACATATTTAATCTAAAATTTATTATGTGGACTTTGCGAACTACCCGCAGCCCACGGATGACAAACCGGCAGCCCAAACCTATCACAAACACCCAGTCTTTCACAAGTCCAAACTCAATAACCAGACCAAACAAACACTCAGCCCTCACAAGCCCAAATGAAAAACTCCCGTCCAGATGAGGCACTTGCGAAGGTGGCTAACTTTGGGCCAATTTTGCCCAACACGATACTACGTTAGATAGTAGTTTATACAAGACTCATTAATTTTAATTATTTAGGCACCATCTTCTTTTAATCTGGTACTTTTTTTTATCTTTTATTTATTTTAAAAAATAATACCTTTATTAATTTTATGGCATAAATTATTCAGAAATATATTCTAGATTATTTCAGATAGAAATTCTGAAAAAATTTAGATAAATGAATCTGAATATATATAATATTTTTAAGTTTCGTATTATAAAATTTGAAATATATTTTTATTATTTCAAAAATATCAATAAAAATTTTCTGAAAAATGAAATGCAAAATGATTTTTTTTATATGCATGATTTACATTTGTTATTCACTTTTCTATGAACTTTCTGAAATGATTTTCTATAAATATTTACATTTATGGAAAACTTAAATATTTAAAAAATAAAAAGTTGATTATGAAAAATGATTGAAAAAGGAAATTTGAAACTATTTAGATTAAGCACAATATTTGTTTTTGTTTTTTTTTTTTTTCGGTAAGTATGGATGTAGAGTTATAGTAGTCCAGCCCGTTAATTATTCATTTGGGGATAAAGTAGTGTGCCCAATGTTCCTGGTTATAACTTGTGTGATGAGTAACCCTATTTGTCCATTATGATGCAAAGTCCTTTTTTTTTTCTTATGATAAAAGGGACAAAAGTCCTTCGAAAATGAGGTAAAAATAATACATTGATGTAATATTGCTGAAAATGAAGGCTCCAAGAAATATCACCTGCTTATAAGTTTGACAGATCAAATATTAAGGCTTTTACATTCCTAAGGACCACAACCAAAATAAATATAAAATATATCATTTAAATATATGTTAGGAAGAGAAGATATATTCATATGTATAGAAACACTGCACTACTTTATTACAAAGGAGAAGCTTGAATATATAAGATCAAGTTATAACAGTTTAAACAAAAAATCATAACCATGAAAACTAACAGTAACCGAAAAATAACAGAAAAATATATATTGTATATCTTTATCATTCTCTCTCAAACTGGGCATAAGCGTTGTGAAGGCCAAGCTTGGAAGTGGCATGCTGGAAAGGTGCAGGATGAAGAGACTTGGTGAAGACATCTGCAAGTTGATGGGCTGAAGGAATGTGAAGAAGATGAATAAGACCGTCAAGGAGTTTTTGTCGTATAAGATGACAATCTATTTCAAGGTGTTTAGTTCTCTCATGGAAAGTAGGATTTTTGGCTATTTGGATGACAGAATTGTTATCACAAAAAGTAGCATAAGGAGTGGGAATGGAAAAATGCAGATCTTGGAAGATGTATTGGAGCCACTGGAGTTCACAAGTCAAAGAGGCTAGTGAACAGTATTCTGCTTCTGTTGAGGATCGTGAGACAGTGGTTTGTTTCTTGGATTTCCAAGAAATTAGAGATGCACCTAAGAAGATACAAAACCCAGAAACTGAACGACGAGTAGTGGCACATGTGGCCCAATCTGAATCTGAAAAAGCTTGAACTGTAAGAGTGGTATTGAACTGATATAACAGACCATATCCTGGAGCATTTTTCAAATAACGAATAATTCTTAAAGCTTGTTGCATGTGAGGTTCCCGTGGGGAAGAAATGAATTGGCTGAGTTGTTGAACAGCGAAACAAATATCAGGCCTTGTGTGGGTCAAATATAAAAGTCTGCCAATGAGTCTGCGATAAGATGAGGGATCAGACAGTAACACTCCTTCATCAGCATGTAATTTGATGGCAGGATCAACAGGTGTAGGCGCAGGTTTGCAACCAAGAAGACCTGCTTCGGATATAAGGTCCAAGCAATATTTGCGTTGATTTAAAATCAATCCATTTGGTGTTCGAACAACTTCCAGGTCCCGTAAAGTATCTAAGAGGGCCAAGGTCTTTAATATGATATTTAGCATGAAGATGGTTTTTAACCTTTTGAATTTCGAGATAAGTCATTGCCAGTGAGTACAACATCATCAACATAAACGAGAAGAACTGTGATAGCGAGAACCAGAGGACCTAACAAAGAGAGAGTAATCTGCAACACTTTGAGAGTAACCGAGAAAAAGAAGCTTAGAAGTAAGCTTGTTGTTCCGGTTCTACTGGCTCTGTTTAAGTCCATAAAGAGACTTATTAAGCTTACAAACAAGCTCTGGATGAGGAAGAGATAGGCCAGGTGGAGGCTTCATGTAGATTTCTTCATCCAACTCACCGTGAAGAAAGGCATTATCAACATCCAATTGATGGATGAACCAATGAGAAGCAGTGGCTAGAGCAAGAACAATTATGACGGTGGTAAGCTTTACAACAGGAGAAAAAGTTTCGAAATAGTCAATTTCTTCGGTTTGGGTAAACCCTTTGGCAACCAAACGAGCTTTGAATCTATCAACCGAGCCATCTGCTTTATGTTTGATTCTATAAACCCATCTGCAACCAATAGTATTTTTGCCAGGAGGAAGAGAAACTAATGTCCAAGTTTGGTTTCACGTTAAGAGCATCTATTTCAAGCAACCATTGCCTCTTTCCAACGAGTTACTTTGAGCGGCTTCTTTGTAGGAAGAAGGTTCATCTTGGACAGATATGTTGTGACAAAAAAACATGATTAGACGAACATTTATCATATGAAAGAAATTGAGATATAGGATATGGAGTTGAGAAAGGTGAGTGAACGAGTGGAAGCGAGAACCACAGTAGTAACTATCTAAGTATTTGGGCTTGTTTTTAACACGATTTGAAGTCCTGTTAATAGGAGCAAGGACTTGAGAATTATCATTAGCTTGAATTTGAGAACCATCAAGAGCAAGTGTGCAATCTGTATTATTTTTAGTAACTGTGGTAGATGAAATTGGCAAAATAAAATCAAACAAATCATTGCTTTGAGAAGAAAAATCGATATCGAAGGTAGAAGAATTAGAAGATAGTGAACGGGTAGAAAAGGGAAAAATGGTTTCATGAAAAATGACATTACGGGAGACAACAATAGATTTTGAATGGATGTCATACAGAACATACCCTTTGGTACCAGGTTTGAAACCAAGAAAAACACATTTTAGACTTCTTGAATCTAATTTATTTCTTCCTGCGAGCAAGAGTACTAGCATATGACAGGCAACCAAAAACTTTGAGGTTTGAAAAATCAGGTTTACTGGAATAGACAAGTTGATATGGTGATTTATTTTGCAAAAAAGGTGTGGGTAACCGATTGATGATATGCACGACAAGTTTAAGAGAATATGACCAGAATATGTTAGGCATTTGTTCTTGAAAGAGAAGAGCTCTACATACATTTAAAAGATGTTGATGCTTCCTCTCAACAATTCCATTTTGTTGTGGGGTTGCAACACATGAAGTTTCATGAAGTATTCCTTTAGAGCCATAAAAGTCATTCAGAAAAAATTCTTTGCCATTATCTGATCGTACTCTTTTTAACTTGCAAGAGAATTGGTTTTCAGTTAAAATAATGAAGTTTTGAAATAAATTTCTCACGTCAGTTTTGGTTTTAAGAAGAAGAACCCAAGTGAACCTACTATAGTCATCTACTATAGTTAAAAAATACTTGTATCCTTTAATAGAAATGATAGAAAGGGGACCCCGGATATCAACGTGGATTAAATCAAAGAAATGAGTAGATTTGGTTGGGCTAGGATAATATCAGTAAGCGTCTTTGTTTTGCAAAAGCACAAGCATCACAGACAGTAATAGGAGAGGAAGAAAAAATAGGATTTTGAGAAGCAAGAATTTGTAGAATTTTATTAGATGGATGACCAAGTTTCATGTGCCATAGATTACAAGATTGAGTATTATTAATGAAAACAGAATGCTGCAAAGAATCACTTGCTTTTGATAAACTCAAATTGCAACTGTTAGTGAGATAAAACAAGCCTTTATACTTTTCAACTACTCCAATCATCCGAAAGGTATTGCTCTGCAAGATTAAGCAATGATTTTGATAGAAAGTAATAAGATAGTTAGAAGAGCTAATTAACTTAGATATGGAAAGTATCTGAACACTAAAATTGGGAACAAAAAGGGTATCATGAAGAA